CCATTGCCTTTTTTTATTATTATTATTATTTTTAAGTTTTAGTTTTATTTGTTTAAAAGGAAGACAGTGATATTGCATTGGAACAAAAGAATAATAAAGGCACCTCAACTTTTCCTCATTTATGTAGGACAGTCTTATAATATGCATCCAGATAGCCTTCAATCACACAAGCTGAAAATTGTTCCACTTTACTGCAGTTCTGTAACCATATGGGGACCAATCCTGTCTGTGTTCTGTGCACATCCAAAATTCCTGCTGAATGACCCACCCTGGGAGCGAGTTACCAGTGACCCAGGGCTTGGGCAGCAGGAGGGGGGGGGCAGCCACAATTTTTTTTGCTTGGGGCAACAAAAAAACCTAGAGCCGGCCCTGCCCACAACTGCATCCCATCGTAAGCAGAACTCACCATGGAATTACATAGCGAATCAACCTTGAAAATGAATGGGATATGGATTTGAGTTATGGCTAGCAAAGGATCAAGATGGCAGTTTAAAGCACTTAACTCCTACAAACTTCCCTCTCCATCCTCTGTACTTCCAGCTTTCCTCTCTGATCTCCAGTACCATTAAAAACAAAAGTTAGGTAGTTTGTTACAGATTTCTTTCTTCCTCCCTCCTCCCTAGGGTGACCAGCTGTCCTGATTTTATAGGGACAGTCCTGATATTTGGGGCTTTGTCTTATATAGAGTCCTATTACCCCTACTCCATCCCGATTTTTCACACTTGCTGTCTGAACACCTTACTCCTCCCCAACAATAGAGCTTATGTAGGAGAAAATCTATTTTAACGTGATGCTGAACAGTACAACCTACTACATGTGCTGCTTATGAGTGTCATGTGGCTCCACTGCTGAGACCTGACTGCGGGTTGTGTACACAAAAGGGCTAAACAAATAAATGAAATAGAGGATGATATATATTTAAGCCATTTAAAAAAGAAAAAGAAAAAAGAAACTAGTAATTTTAGATGCTCAACTTGAGATATCTTAAAAAGGGCTAGGGATGGTGTCCCTAGCCTCTGTATTGCCAGAAGCTGGGAAATGGGCAAGGGATGGATCACTTGATGATTTCCTAATCTGTTCATTCCCTGGCATTGGTCACTGTTGGAAAACAGGATACTGGGCTAGATGGACCTTTGGTCTGACCAGTATGGCTGTTCTTATGTTCTTTTTTCCTCTCCATAGGAGGGGTGCTTAGGCACCTTTCCGGCACCTCAAGTTGGGTATCCAAATTTTTTAGGAAACCAAAATTGCTAGTCACATCTAAAAAATCTTGGTCTGTGTTTTTGGCCTTTACTTTAACCAGCAAATCAACCTTTCCACGGGTTCCAATGCTGACTTGAGTGCTGCTTCACTTCTTTTCAGGTAGGTGGCGCGTTACTTCCCTTACTGCTATTCCAATGATGAGTAAGAAACACTGAATATGCTCTTCAGTCAGTTAACGGTGCATCTTTCTATTAGAGTCCTGGTTGGAAAAACCTGCTCCAAGGATTTGCAGCTGATACCTAACTGTGTTATTTAAATTACAATGGACTCTCAGATTTTCAGTATCCCTGAAACATTGCTATAATGAAATGTAATTTTAGATAGAAAAAAAATCTGCCATGATAAAAGAAGAACTTGCTAAGATTAAATGAAAATTGAAATGATAGCTACTGAGCTGCATTTTGGGGAAGTGCCATCTCAGACGGATTCTTTCTGTAATGTTTTCAAGACTCACGGGAAGTCACCAATTGACAATTTGCCTCCTATGATATAGAAAAAGGGTAATTCACAGCCCCAGACAGCTCATATTAACATCTCTATTAAAGAAGAAGAAATCCTTCTCCTACTACATTTTTGCATTATAACAGACTAACTCCAATGGAAACGGCTCATCTGTTCCTGGCATGGAAGAAGCAAAATGCATTAAAAAAAATATCTGTGAAACATAATTATAGTAATCAGATGCACAAAATGCAAGCTCTTCAGCATGAAAACCATGTTGTGGAAAAAAGTGTAAAGAATTAGAACTCACAGAGACCTTGCTGGGACGCTGCGTAGGAGTGCTCTCCTACTTTTATGCTTTCAGCCATAGCAGGGGGCCAGGAAATGTGTAAATACGTAGTGAGCACTTTCAAATCTCTTGCAGTCTGAGATTAATTTGTCACACCTACACCTTTTCCAAGTGGACTTTCTTTGAAATCCACTGCTATACTTCATATAATGCACCCTACATGTGTGTAAGGTTGCCAACAGTAGTGTCTTTTCTGTAGCTACTTAGAGTTTGTATGTACCCTTGTTTCCACAGTAAGATACAATAATACTGTGTAACACTTGGGCCTTATACAATACTTCCTATTCAAAAGATCTGAAAACAGTTTACAAAGGAGAATTTTCCTGACCAGGAAACTGAGGCACAGAGAGATTAAAATGCTGAAGGTCGTTGTCAGCACCAATTTCCCCTGATTCCTCCCACATTTCAGACCACACCCACTTTTATATTGTTTAAAGCACTTTTAGATGCTTTATAGATTTATATTACAGTTTTATATTATGCATTACACTAAATAAGCTGGTTTAGTCAGCACCTGGGCTTTTGAGACGACATTCGTAACAATTGCAACTCTCTTCTAGTATCTAAGGTAAAAAAGCACATAGCTCAATTCACCCGAGAAAATTCCACAAAGTCAACACTATGCACCTCACAGAAGTTGAATGTGTCGGGAAGCTTAGGTTGCATAAAAATAGCATATATCATTTGAACTGAAGTTTGATAATGGGAACCAGTAGAACAAAACATACCTTAATTTTATCCGATAAGCAAGCAAAAACCTAGCCGAAATGAGAGTATGAAGAGTTACTGCCAGAACCTGTCAGACCTTAGTTACAGAATTAACAGATAACACAAGAGCAACATATTCACACATCCACAGCTTTCTGTATTGTGGAACATACCTATTAATAACTTTGGAAAATTTGATGTTTCGATGTTATGGTAGTAAACAACAGATGTGATGGCTGCCAAGAATGCCATACCAGCTGGCATGTACAGGTGCAAATGACGGGATTCTGAAACCCTTAAAAATAAAAATAAAATTTTTTTTTATATACACATACATACACACACAGCCACCCACCCCTAAACAAAGCTTAAATATACACTGGTTTAATTGTCAGTTATTCACCTCTCTTGTTACTTATCATTAGACTTGGCAGAATTTGAGTCTTTTTTTAGAATTGACAGATAATTAAAATGTTTAAAGCATTTTTTATTTTTAACTATTTACATTTTTCACAATTGTGCAAAAATATGGGTTTAAAACTTTTTTTTTATCAATTTAAATTTTCACAGTTGTGGGAAATTATGGAAGAAGGTCAGACAATTATTTAATAGACACAGATTCAAAAAGTTAAAACTTCATAACCATTAAAACACATTGTCAAAAATCATGTCAAAATATACAATGCAAATATACTTAAATCCTGAAATTCTAAAAAGTTCTCAAGCAGCATTTTTCTTACTTTGCTTATCTGAAAATTTCAATGATTTGAAATTTGGGGGGAAGGGATAGCTCAGTGGTTTGAGCATTGGCCTGCTAAACCCAGGGTTGTGAGTTCAATCCTTGAGGGGGTCACTTGGGGATCTGGGGCAAAATCAGTACTTGGTCCTGCTAGTGAAGGCAGGGGGCTGGACTCAATGACCTTTAAAGGTCCCTTCCAGTTCTAGGAGATGGATATCTCTATTTATTTATTTATGATCATCTATAGAAATATTTTGTGTCAGGTTGCATGTGTACAGTGAAATTGTACAAATTCTAGTGCATTCCATTTTCAACAATTACAATCAACAATCAAACAAACCAACCCACCCAAATAATCAGGGAATTACAATATGCCTTGAAGACACAGTCCTGCATTGCAGGTAAGGCAGAATTGCACTGAAGGTGCAGTTTACTCTTCAATGCCTGGTCAGCCATTTCTGCTGGCTGGCAGATAGTTGGATGAGCCATAACCCCATTTTCCCTTTTCCCTACAAGGTAGTAAGGACAAAGCAGCCCCTGTGCTCCCCAGAAAGCAAGGGCTACAATTCAGCCTGGCTCGTTTCTGAGCCACTCAAAGTGAGGGTGGTGACATGCAGGATGAGAGGTCTGTGAACAATCCAGGAGTGGGAGAGTCAGGAGGATGTATACCTTCGTCCCCCAGCCTAATGGAAAAGTCAGTCGAGAATGAATGCTTCTCTGGCTCCCTCTGCCCCTTCCTTGTATAGGGAATCGAGAGGTAGTGGAGGGTATGCATATGGGATGGAGGTGGGGTGGAAAGAGCTGCACTGTCAGAGAGCTGAAAGTGCTACAGAAGTCGCTGGAGCTGAGCGTGCAAAGGTTCTGTCCTCCAAGAGATTACTCAGGGCATGGCGGTCAAACTATTGCTCATTCCTTAGGTCTGCGCATGGGGAACACAAATCCTGCCCCCAAAGGAATAATCCGGGGAAATCCCCACACATTGACATAAGTGAGGCCACATGGGCAACCTTTGACCTAAATGCTTTGCTTAATGACAAGTAACCGCTATTGGTAATAGGAAGATTTATATGTGGATACCTTAATGTCACTAAATTTATAAATAAGGGCAGATTTTTATACAACAGAGTAGAATTCCAACCGTGAGAAGCCAATATTTTAGGGATCACATATTTTTACACAGATTTCAGCAGGGTTCTTCAGTTATTCCATGTTTTAGTAGATAATGCTGTAGGAGTAGGAGGTATTTTGCTATAACTCACAAACAGAAGCAAGCTGCAGGAATTCTACTATATAAGCATATCACTAAGCCATTTTTACAACACAGTAGCACGGGTCTATTGCTGGTTGCCAAAGGCTTTGACAGCCCGACTACTATCAAGAGAGCTTTTAACAGCAAGACTTGTTTTGATTTTAGGAAGATGATGAGTCTCTTCGCTACAGGAACAAAATCTGTTTTTATTCACAGAACAACTTGCTAAACTGCCGAGTGCTCCAGAGATGTGATTGTGGGCTGGCAGCCCTCCAGTATAGTTAGGAACTTTGATTCTCATCAGGATGCACTTCTTATTCAACAGCAGTGTTCTGGGTCAGTTTAAGAATAACCTTAAAGAGGGCAATATTCTGCTTCAAGTCCCCACATCCTTATAATTAAAAACTAAAATCAGTATTAGAAAAGCTCTTTCTAAAATGTCTTTTGGGTGCTAAGGGATTTCCTGTTTAATGTATACTTACGAGGAGATAAAATATATAATAAAATAATAAAAATGGGCAAAACTGATACAGAGAGATATAATTCAGTTAAACTAGGGTTACTGCTATGCAGTCCATGATGTTTATACATATATACTCTCAGCCTATTATGGTAGAGAAAACAAAATAACTATTGGTACCATAAAGTACTCTCAGGATTCATATGACTTGCTTTATTCAGAAAATTTCTCTCATATTTTATTACATAAACTCTTATGCCAAATTTCAGGTCATAAGTAAAGGAATGGTAGAATTAAATAAGGATATATATGCTAGTATATTAGTCTACTCCTAATCTTGCTCCCAATGAAAGTCAAACACACATTGATTTCAACTGGAACAGAACCAGTTTATGTTTCATTCTGTTTATATTTCAACTTTAGTGAACAGGATTTGGTCCCATCATAGTAATGTGAGTAGCTCCATTCAAGGCAAGAAGGCAATAGGTTTGATTCTTTTCTCTCACACACTGGTGGCACATCAGTAGTTACTCTGTTGAGGTCAATGGAGTTACTCCAGTGTAAAACATGTGTGAGAAGAGAATCAGGTCCAATAAGCCTTTGAGCAAGGCAAGCAGAACTTGGCTCATGGAGGAATATTTGTGACCTAATCCTGTACATGGGAGTTTTGTCTGAGCAAGGACTGTGGGATCAGGTCCTTAGATGTTTCATTAAAACATCACCATCTGCTTGAATTGTCAGGATATATCTAAGATTATCCTTTGGAATGATAGTGTTATTAAATTTAACTAAAAATGATTCAGGGGCAGGCCATTTTTATGTGTGCACATACTTGGCAAGGTCTATGGAATTTCTGATACAAAGTCTGTAGGTTAATCACCATGAATACAGATTACATGTTTATAACAAGCCAAATGGCTTAGATGAAAATGTAGACAGGGGAGTAGTACATACATAGAAACCCTTCAAAGATAGTGGGTGTTATCAAGAAGAACTGTGCATCCACTTACCCATCTGACACTATGCCCTCTGCTATTTCACACACCAGCACAAACAAAAGGATGAAAGTCAAGATCCAACGTAAATTGTGGCCGGGAAAATGAAGCCAAGTGCTATGATGTATATGAACTTTGGAACTCTGACTTCCCCATCCTAAATGTAAAAGCAGAATCATCATGAGGATTTTTATGCGCAACCATAACCCCACATGAGAAAATGTTCTAAACTGAAAATGTTGAACTCTTTTCTCTCTTTCATATTTAAAAGCAATAACTGAGTTGGAAAATGTTACAAGTGAGGACTCTCACTGTGCAACTATACTGTAAAAATGTGACATCGGGACTGATCCTACATTCCTTGTGCACTAAACATTTCCAAGACCTACAGTGGGTGTTTTAGTTGTAAAAAAAGTACAGAGTAGGGCCCAAGTATAAAGGGGAAAAAAAACAGTGACACATTTAGACCCTGATCCTATAAACACTTGCATGTTTATAACTTTATTCAAATGAATCAACCCACTTAAATCAATGAGACTACTCATGCAAGTAAATTTATGCATATATTTAAGTATTTGCACGATTGGAGACTCATGTAACAACTTTATTATGGAATATAAACCAAAAAGCACATAGAATATATAACAATCTTCCAGTAAATTTAATAATGTGATTCCAAATAATCTCAAACATTAAATATTTATAACCAAACTTTTTAAAAATGCCAGTATTTTTACTATATAATAAAATCCTGTGCAATTAATTTTATTAATATAACTTAGAAAAAAAGCATAAATTTCATAAAGTAATTATTTTTGACAGGCTTCTTTGCTCACAAATACCATTGCTTAATTTTAAAAATGAAAGCAGTAATATTTAGTTCTTAAGAAAGTTAAATACTAGAGCATAGCATGGCATTTATGCTGCCCAGATTTCCTGCTAAACAGCTCCTCAAATGACTGCTTTGAGCTTTCGTGAGCGAAGGACACCCATTTTGACATATTATGTTATGGTTTTGTGTTGTGGACAAACATCACCCAGGAACCAGACTGACTCCTGTAACTTATAAATTTATGCAGAATTGGAACTCCTAGTTCCAGTAATGAAGAAGTGTATTAAACCACTGGGCCACCTACTGGTAGCCCCAATATAATGTCTGGTAGTGAATTCATGCTAATATAGCTTAACTTTCAGTAAGTGGCTGTATTATTTGACAATATCAAATCAACTTGCTCCAAAACAGTAGCTTTCTGATTTTAGCAGTAAACTTGTTCTGTTATTTCCTCAGCTTGCAAAGCTCATAGGGCAAAATCCTGACGTCCTTATGCAGTTTCTACTCAATCCTTACATGGGGAAAACTTCCACTAACTTAATGGACTTGAAAAGGAGTTTTGCCTGCATAAAGAAAGCCAATTCTTGTAGTCCATGAGATTTTCCAAAGTCCCCTTATCACAGGCAAATCTGAGCTACATATGTTAATTAGTAAGCGTGAATGCTTCCATTAATATAAAATAATAAGATTATAATAGTTGGGGGAAATGATAGCTTGATTGATAGGTCATCCTAAAGTATGCATCTAGTCAGTATTACTTTAAACATTTAACATTTTAGCTGTCTATTAATGTTTAAACAGTTTAGTCGAGAGGCAACAAACGATTATATTGGTACAGACAGCTTGATTAGTTACACTGTTTATACTGTGGTACCTCAGGCTTCTGTGATGCATTGGCAGAATATGGCTAATTCATTAAACTGTCCTTAATGAACATTTAAGGGTGTCCCTTTCTGTCAACTAAACTGTGTTAACATTAGTAGCTTGAGTGAACCTGCTGAATAAACTCAACTGACACAGGATTTTGAGAAAAGCTCAGCAAGATTCAAGTCCCTTCTGAAGTAATGGACATGCCACCTTTGACTTCAATCGGAGCCCTTAGGCTGAGTGCTTCTGAAAATCGTGTGTGTGTGTGTGTGTCAGTCTCGCATGAGAGACTGCGACCCACCCGGTCACAGGCAACTGGAAACAATGTCAGGCTCCTCCGTCAAATGCATCCAGTCGCGATCTTTGCCCCTGACCCATGTGCCAGCTGATCAGGTCCCAGGCTAGCGCTTTGCAACCCAGGAGTGGTGGGCTCTTGGAGAATGCCCCGAGGCACACTGCTGGGAGTGGATCCATCCAGAAAGGCAAGGTGAAGAGACCGATGCTATGGCTGAAGCAAGCAAGAAAGCCAAGGCTCCCTGCTTGGAGATATGGAGCAGACTAGGCAGGCTGCAGAGCTAGGGTACCGGCGAGAAAATCATAAATATCCCCCCGCGCACAACAGAGCAGCGTAAATGGGGCCGTGCAGCCGCACTCACCTATGAAGAGGATAGGGAAGGTGATGAAGAGCAGGAAGACGTGCGGCACCACGTTGAGCGCGTCGACAAAGCAGCCGTTGTTGAGCACCCCTTTCTCCACGTTGTAAGCGGCCGAGTTATTCTCATTGCCACAGAACGCCAAGGACATGGTGGAGGAGCTGGGACGCTGCGCGCAGCGCGCAGGGGAGGGGGGCGCATCCACACACACATAGACTGTCGCGGCGCTGAAGGTGGCGGGGTTGGCCTCCCTCCCCGGCATTACCTGGGGGACATGGTGCGGAGCCCCGGCCCCCGGCGCAGAGCGCGCGCAGAGCGAGGCATGGGAGAAGCCAAGGGGGCTGCCAGCAGCTGCGCCCCAGAGGCGCGCGCGGGTCACCGTGCTGGAGAGGGGTCCGCGCGCCTCGCCCGGCGCTCTTCGGTCCGGAGCCCTTCAGACCGGCTGCCCAGTCCTAGGCCAGCAGGCGGGAGGCTGCTGTGCCCGCTCCTGGGAGGCTGCCTTGCTCCCGCGCTTGCTAGGATGGGAGCAACTGAGGCTGCAGGACGAGCAGGCTGGAGACTACGGGAACATCTGGCGGCAGCATCGCAGACAGAGAAACAAGAGGAGGCTTCGCCCTGGTGGCCGCTCCTCGCGCGCCTCAGTCGCTGCTACTGCTGCGTGAGTGCAGCTGCAGCTCCGGCCTTAAAGGAGCCGCCTTCCTTCCCCCCCTCTGCCAAGGAAGCAGGGGCAGCAGGCTCGCCCCATCTCCAGCCCCCCGCCCGCACTCTCCAGGGCAGGCCTGGGGTCTGTACAAACCAAACCCAGCCCGTTTTTTCTAAACATTTTGCATTCCGCCCGGTATGCTCGCGCTTGGGCTCTCTGGGGGAAATCTTTCAAGTCCTCTCTGCCCCAGGCCAGAACTGTTGGCCAAAGAAAGCCCAGAAAAGGACAAAGAGCCCGGGAGAGATCATCCCCACCCCCACCAAGCACTCTCAGACCCATCCTCCCCCAGGCACTCAGATCATTTTGGGGGAGAGCTACTCATCCCCAATCTCAAGCTGAGAAAGTCGATGCATAGGGCAGGCAGGTGCTGTACCCAGCCTTTTTATTCAGGTTCTTATACTGCCCTCATCATCATGTTACTCCATCTCTTTCCAGTGGTGCAATAAGTAATGTGACTATCATCTGCGGTTCTTTCTCACATCCTCTTCCCAGATGTCTCTCACGATCCTCTCCCCCCAACCAGCTCTGCCCATGCAAGTGCCTGCCTGCACACTAGCTGTTGTAATTCTGGGCACGTCCTGGAATAATACCAAAATGGATCCTGCTTTGGGGATCTGGGTGGATGTCCATTGGATATTAGGTAGAAATTACTATTGTAATTACATTTGTGTTTTACAATGGCCTTGAAATTGAACCCAGCTCCCCAGCCGTGAAAGATTAATGCATGATTGGAGTGTTTGGTGCTGCCCTGAATTAAAGTAGTAAAAGCTTGTGGGGTTCAGAATGAGATCTCATGGGATTTTCTATGGAAATCCCTGAGATATTTCACTGTAAGCCTCACAGCCCTCCACTATTTTTCAGTTGTCAGCACATTTGTAAATAAGTATCAAAGATCAACTTTTCACACTTTTAGCGTGAAGCGAAAATGTGAGACAACTTCCAAGCTTTCAGAACAGCATTTCTTTTGTCATGAAAGAAACTTTTTTAAAAAAGGAAAGATGGTGTTTTGTGGAGGTTAACGGTGGAAGTTTCAGAGCTGGCTAGAGGAGGGATGCTAAATTTCCCATGAAAATTAGTCATCCAAATCCCCTAAGTGGCTTTGAAAATTGCTGCCTAACATCCTGTATTTATTATCAGGAGACCACATACAGCAGCAGTGTAAGCATCCTCCTGGTGGCCTGATAGTATTGCTCATGCCTTTCCTGGAGGGATCACTTTTAGGGATGGGCAACTTCTAGGGGTGGGGAGACAAAAGACCTGTTTCTCCACTACTTTGTAGAGTCACTTACACCCATGCAAAGTGCAGGTAAGACACTGCCAAATCAGAATGGGAGCATTTAAATCCAGTTTGATAGCATAAGGTGCAAGGCAGTGGAGAACCTGTACCAGAGTCTGCATTCAAGAATTAGCTTCTTTGTTGAAATGTCCAATCACGTTGTAAATGAATGCTAATTGAGATGGTGAATTTTGTCAAGGTATGGATGCTTCTTCTCTAAGATGTAGAACTTTCTCTTAGGAAGGTCTTCCTCTCTTTCACCACCCCCACCCCACAAACCCTAGATAGATCAAGTTATTTCTCCTGTAATCTGGAAAGAATGATTTCATTTTTGTAATTTCTACTTTTAAATACTTGAGGCACTCAACTACTATGGTGATAGAGATACTTAGATAGGGGAAAAGATTTGTTTTATTTTTTTAAATGATGTGTGTGTCAGCCAGGATAATATATCTCAACCCTTTACCAAGTTTTTATAATAATGAAAACTAGAGTGGGTCCAATGGTCCAGAGAGAATTATGTGAAACTAAAAGTGCCTGTATATGGGAGGAGGAGAACTAAGAAGGAAGAACAAGTGAAAAAAGCTAAAATGATTAAAGTGTTGTTATAGCTGTTTTAGTCCCAGAACTTGAAAGAGACAAGATGAGGGAGATATCTTTTATTGGACCAACTTCTGTTGGTGAAAGAGAAAAGCTTTTGAGCTGTAGAGCTTGAATGCTTGTCTCTCTCACCAACAGAAGTTGGTCCAATAAACAATATTACCTCCCCTACCTCGTTTCTCTCAAAAGGATTAAAGACAAACTGACCCATGCAGAAAGTTCTTGTACAGTGTGGGGTAGATCTTGCAAATGGATCTGTCCTGCCTCTCTTCAGAAGGGCTCTGTATAGGCACAAGGGTGCAACGATTTGTTGGATCTAGCTCTAATCCTTGAAAACAGCCACAGAGGGACATTCCAGAGAATGAGGAGGTTGCGCCCTTATCTTGATTCCAGTAGAAACTGGTTGTCCTTGCTCTCTGACTTCAGTCACTTTGGAGTGACAAAGGAGGAAATAGTCACTCAGGCAGCTTAGATATAGGATTTTTAGCATCTTACATGCGGTCAGCAAGAGCATTTCATTCATTCATTCTCTATAATAAAACAGCACTGTGTTAGCAATGCTAGGGGACCTATGCGGCTGTAATAGAGTACAGATTTTATGATATTTATATACTCATCAGTTCTTGGGTTTTGTTTCTTCACCAAAATGACGACATTATTAGATTAAACCTTCTTAACAGATGAACCCTGGGCTCAATGCAGATTTCTAAATGAGTGTAATCATATCTGAAACTGGTTTTATCAAATTTACTCCCTTGGCTATTTCTGTCTGAAATGATTCCAGATGAAATTTAAATTCTTCGTTGCTGGGCTTTGGATCAGGACCTACGTAAATGTAAAGTATCAAAATACTTGATAAAATTAAATCAAATTCTCAATAACTATTGTGGAAGGCAAATATTTTCTCATTACAAGTGGGTCTGTATAAAACCCTGGATACAAACAGGGCGCAAGCAAGCAAACAAACAAACCAGTTGCTTGTGAGTAGTTCATGCAGATAGTCACATTTTAAAAGTTGAAAAGCAAGTAAATAAAGTAAAAGTAAAAAATCTTGGTTTGTGTTTTATGCTTCAAAACGCAACCAGTACAGGATTCATTTCATCTGCAAAATCTTTTTTCATTTGCACAAGAACTTAATAGTTTGGACAAGAGCTTAATCCTAAAGAGCTGGCAGAGGAAATAGTGTCTATACTGGTTACATTTAGAAAGTATAAAATCTAAGCCAAATCATGTATGTTTGTTTATTTTTCAACTTTTAAAATATACTTATTTCTATATACAAAACACTTAAAATACTAAAGTCCCTGCCCTGAAGTGAAATAGAAAAACTGACAGATTAGGGGAAACAATTATCTTCCTCATTTTACAGATGAGGAATGAAGGCACAAAGAGATTGAATGATTTGTTCAAAGTCATATAGGTAGTCTGTGGCAGAACTGGGAATTAAATTCAGAACTCAAATCCCAGTCCAATCTCTGAATCATCAGTCCATCTTCATATGCTAAAAGTATCAATCAAGATATTGTACAGGTCTGTCACGTCTTACGCACATTTAACATGCGCGATTTCAGCTTTACACGGTCGGCAAAAACAAAGAGAAAAATAACAATTTTAATACTGTACCTGTAGTGCGGGCGATTCCGCCCATCATTGAACTCAATGTAATTTTGATTATATGAGGTTTTTGCTTTACGTGCTAACCGCGGAACAGAACCCCCGCATAAAATGAGACAGACCTGTAATTCTTGAAGCATGGACATTTCACAAAATACTCTGCATCAGGGAAGTGGATGACTCAGGAATAGGGGATTCAATATGTATCCTTTAATTGGTTTCAATCCAGCAGAGAGTAGATCACTAATATGGCTATCTGAAGTCAGTGGCCTCAGTCCAGGTCCACACATCACAGAACAACCATTTCAATTAGCAGTGTATTGTCAGCCTCAAAAGAACGGCCAGGAACCTACACTCTCACCCCTAGGAAATGAGTAAGGCATAGAAGCCTGGGTAAGCTTTTATTATTGCTACCCAGCTGTACATACTTTGTAGATATATAAACAATTTCTGACTCTAGTATTGTTGGTCAGGTAACTTTTGCAATCATTAAACATAACCCTTTCTTCTCCGGAGCCCTTCCACAATAATTTTTACTGGTAGCTAGACTGGACGAGATTCTGAATCAGAGCAGGAATTTTCAGTAATTGGTGATACATTGTAGCTACAGTTTAATTACAATAAAACATTTAACTGTTTTAACAATAACTTAAAATGTTGCAAAGTATGCTTCAAAAATCAAAACAACTGAAATTAATTGGCATGTTGATATTTTATGGGTGAGCCATTCAAACAAAGACAAAATATTAGATCATGGAAGCATCAGAGTACTTATCTGTAGGATTCTCCAGGAAAAAAATACTTAAAACACAAACAGAACAAAACCTAGAACATATATTAGGATACTTTTAAAGTTTGCATTTTTACGGACAATGCCACTGGCATAACTTCATTGAAATCAATGGGCAGCAGTGATGAATTTGGACTAATATAATTTCTTGCTTATTATTGCATCAAGTGGTATTCTCTTCCCCCTCACAAATGGTTACAGGTTCTATTGTCTCCTTGGTATTTAACAGGTATCATTAATGGATATTATATAAGCATATTAGGGAAAGATAGACATCTGTAGGCCAGATTCTGAGCCCTTTACTCATAATGGTGAGCAATTTTTCATGCAAGTAGTCCCCTTGACTTCAGTAGGACTACTTGTGAAAATAGTTGCTCACCAACGTGGGTCAAAAGGGTTCACAGTTTAGCCCCATGATAATAAATGAGATACTCTTTGACTTCATTGGGTTTTGACTCATGCCCCAAATAGATAAATTTTTCATTTAAAGTTGACTTGCAAGTCTTATATTGAGCCTTGTGATAATAGGAGGTTTAGCTGATGAATGCCCCAGAGGAAGAGTAAAGGAGAACTATGGTAACTACTGTTCTCCAGAGTCCGGTTCTTGTGGGTTACATGAACCCTATAGACTAACAGATTTATTTGGGCATAAGCTTTCGTGAGTAAAAACACTTGCATCCGAAGAAGTGAGGTTTTTACTCACGAAAGCTTATGCCCAAATAAATCTGTTAGTCTATAGGGTTCCACCAGACTCCTTGTTGTTTTTGTAGATACAGACTAACATGGCTACCCCCTGATACATGAACCCTATAGTATTTTCCCATGCACTAGCTATTACCTAG